GCGCAAGCCCGTGGATTGTGCCTGCGTGTTATTGTCAAGCAGTAAGATAACGCCGAACACACCGCCGGGGAAGGTATACACAAACCGCCAAGGCTTGTAAGACCCACTGGGATACGAGTGTCTGCCGCGCATATCACAGCGTAGTTAACATTTCAATACTATTGATGCTATTTTCATGACAACCCAACACCTATTCTGGCAACGTCTGGCGCCGTATTCGTTTTTCAGAGGCAGAAGTATCGCAGACATGGTGTTTGGTGCTACCGCGGCATGACCATTATGCTCTGGTTAGTTGCATTCAATACCACTTCCTCCATTCCGAGTTACACCATTGGAAAAACAGTCTGTAAAACTCTTTGTCTTGCACTGTTACTGCTGTTATTTCTAACACGACCAAGAAGACATTTGTGCAGGCGCTTTTAGAATTACTGGGTCGTGACTAGATGCGCTAATTGGATTCCACATTTTTGGAATTACAAAAATGACAAAAGTCCAAGCTGAAAATTGGACGGACAAGGGCAAAAAACTTGATATTTCTTTGGACAGCTTCTGTAAGTCTGTTATTTTGCAAATAATCATGCATCTCTATTTATTTGATGCCTCTCGTTTTCAAAATGATTTGATTCTGGAATATAAACAAGATGTTATTATTTATTATTAAGATAATTTGTTTCGACAGTTTCTGTAAGTCTGTTGTTTCGCAAATAATCATGCATCTCAACTTATTTAATGCTTCTCGTTTTCAAAATAATTTGATTCTGAAGTATAAACAAGTTGCTATTAGAGCACACTAGAAAATACTTCTTCATGAAACATGAGATGGAAAGCTTCTACGATAAAAGGCAACGATATCACTTGCATCGAACATCAATGTGAATTGTGAATGGTGGTTGTTTTAACGAAAGCCCGTGACGCACATTACTTACCCACGATCATTTTATTATTTTTCATTAGATTCGAGTGGGGAAATACAGTGACGGAGGAAATGACTGCGGTTACTGCCCGTCGTTTAACTTAGGATTGGAATTCAACAAAGACTTTCAGAATGCGGCCCTCTGATCGTGACAGAGACGTGACCTGCGTAGTTGGTCTTCTGAGTACCTGTGTATCGTATGAGGCCTATTGTTGACAGCGTCCGCGCCTCGCCCGACGAGCCGTTAACTCCATACTGTACTTTGATCCGCAGATATGACTATCTTGCACCTCGAGGCGAAGATCATCCTCAAGTCGTGTCAGCTTACTGTCTCCTGATACTGCTGTCTCCTAACATGATAAGTACGTCCACCACGGAAGGCGGTAGCGAAAACTTCCGTCTGTATGCACACGGTGATCCCCGCCTGCATTGCTTGAGGAAAATTGAGGACAGTTGGTGTGTGTAGCCGCTCAACGCCGTCAAAGGCACTGCTTTGAGATGGAACAAAATGTGTCATTATTTATGTTTAGCACGTCGTTTACGAACGTGGACCCAAAAGCTATTATTGGCACAAGCTAAGCAAAATTAGTTCGGAATGCACATGGTAACAGCAGAAGCTACTGACCCTGCTTGCGTGCGTTTCAGCCACAATTTGTATAAGGTATCAAGTACTGCTATTTTGCATGCATCACCGTTGGGTGGATGTTAAGCTTCCACGGCAGGTAGGAGGGTCGTAGACCCCTGCCTGACCCCTACCCTCGATCTCCACACCTCCTACTGCTGTTCTGTATGTTGAATAACTGTAGCAATCTAATCGTGCTCGGACATCGATAAACGTATGCATTACTATGTACCTGTACAGGTCCTTCAGTAGCATTAATGCCAACTTCATAGCTTGTATAGGCTAAATGTGTGCTGTTCAGTTCGCTAAACATGATAATGGTTTTCAGGAAGGCTTCTCCGGACGGCTGCCTTCGTCTGCCTGCGACCACGTCCGCGATTCGCGATACCAGGGCCGTACCAGAGACGTACCAGCCGTCCCAGGGCCGCACCAGCCGTCCCAGAGCCGCACCATCCGCACCAGAGCAGCACCAGAGCCGTGCCAGCCGCAGCAGAGCAGCATTAGTCGCACCAGAGCAGCACCAGCCGCCTCAAAGCCGCACCAGCCGTCCCAGAGCCGCACCATCCGCACCAGAGCAGCACCAGAGCCGTGCCAGCCGCAGCAGAGCAGCACCAGCCGCCCCAAAGCCGCACCAGCCGTCCCAGAGCCGTAAGGGCTGCATCATAGAAGCACCAGCCGTATCCGAGCCGGACCAGGGCGACGCCAGCCGCACCAGGCCCGCACCAGCCGCGTTCCGCTCCGCAGGGCCGGCCGAGGCGTGACGCAAAAACGGCCGCTCGGAGGGGGGATGGGGAGGGGGCGTGACAGCTGACTGAGCCCGTGACTCACCTGACCGAGGGGCGGGGGAGGGTGCAGGTGGGGTGCCACCGCCCGCCCGGACCATTTCCGGAGCCGCGCGCGCCAAGCACAACGGAAGCCGCGACACGCACGCGGGGTGGAGTCAACGGCCGGCTGCCGGGCCAGCGCGGCACAAGCTGGACAGCCTGCCCGGCAGACGCGGCACGCGCTGGACCGCCTGCCCAGCGGCTGCGGTTTCGGGACTGAGCTTGGGGAAGGGGTGTATGGCATAACGATGTTCGCATAATACTTAATTTTGGGTGGATCTTGGTGGCAAGTTCTACGGCCAATGCAATGGCAGGGTCAAGCCGAGCGGTATCATTGCACACTGTTTATTTAAATATTAGCTATTGCACTTGTTTCAATGCTGTTGCGATGGACATAATAATAATTCAGTTTGAATTCCACGCTAACGAATTCCACGAATTCCACGAATTCCACGTCTTCTTCGTTATCCGTCGGCAAAGACCAGAGTTAAATAATGGCTCAGCGTCAGGCCTGCTCTGCAAGTTCTGTCCGCCCAGTTCGTCCTGCCAACGTTACCAGCGCTGAGCTGTGTCTGGTATATTATTTTCGCTATGGCAGCGTTCGCGGTTTACTATGTAGTTCTGTAGGTTAAAATGTGTGTTCGCATAACTGTCCAAACTAATTTATTTGGTTTATAGTGAGTTCAGAAAGATGCTTCATAGCACGCGACAGTTTGGATGTTCCAAAACGTGTGCAAACATGTCATAAGCCTGCTGCCGTAATACTTGTTATGTATGGGTGAGACATTGGTCGCTATGTAACATTTCATTTAACGTAGACCTTTCCTTATGACATAATTACGAGGAAACCGCGGCCCAATGATTATCAACGGCTTAGCTACCAACTATTTTGAACAACTTGCAGTCACCTGGTGAGGTTATAATTTGTTGATTTTGGGTTCAATCTTTGTGCTGTTTTAGCACACGTGGTCGTTAAATCCGCCATGTTATCTATGTAAGCGGTTGGAATTTTCGCCGAACATGCATCGGCAGCATATATAGCTGCCCACGTCCATTTGTTACCAAACACACTGAGGCCGAACGAGCCCACGAGACGGTGGCAGCACCGCAGCTTTCCCTGCCGACCCGCGTCAGCATCTGTGTGACGCCACCTATGTTTCGGCCGGTTGGAAGCGGGACAGTTTCAGGCCGCATCACTAGGCAGATCGTGCCGGCCGGACCTGGCGGCGGCCAGCTGCGGGCAGCGTCACCTGTCCGGGCAGCTCCCGGCAGCGAAAGCGGGCTTCGCTTTTTGCCGCCACCGAAGCGTCGCGCCTTCGGACGCACGGGCGCGGTGTGGCGCGCTCCTCACGGCGGCGGGAACAGCGACGACTGTGAACGCTCCGGGCAGGTCTGTCGCAGCACCGTCCTGCTTCCCCGGCGCCCAGGCCCGCAGTGTGCGCACGCGCGTGCGGGCCGGCCTGGACTCTCGATTGCCGCCGAGCCGTCTGTCGGCCGGCCGGCTGGCCTCCTTCCCAAGATGAATGGAAGGCCGGCGGGCGGCTCGGTCGGCCGCAGCCGAGGCCGATCTCACTTCGGCGGCGGCCAGCTGGGGGCGGCGCCCCGGCCGGCGCCACTGTCGCTCTGGCCCAGTTGGCAGGCCCGTCGGCGGCCGTGCATGCACGTGAAGTACTGTGTCCGCGCTGGCGCCATTGTGTTGTGTTGCAATGACTTTCGAGCCGATGTTATGCTTGGCAAAATATGACAGGCCTGAATCTGCACAGCAATTTAGTTAAAGAACAGCAATCTTGCTCACCAGTTAACTAAAAGAAGTTCCTGATCTGCCGCTGCCATGCCTTATCAAGGAAATAGAAAAAACACTGTTAGCGACGGCTACATCGATAAAGCAAGCGCATCAAACTGCCAAGCAAGACAAGGGCCATCTCAAATCTGGCGGCGAAGTCAATCGCGCAACAAATAACTTCACTCCCGCGCAGCCTGGGCCGGGGCCCCCTCCGTTCGGCAGATGAGATCCGGCACGTCGCGGAGCGGACCAGCGGGGAGCCGTCTCGCGCCGCCGGGCCGATCCGGCGCCGCAGGCCGTGGGCTCGCCGACAGCCCGACCCACTTGCTCGTCCATTCGCGCGCTAATCGGGGCGGGAAACCCGCGGGCGCGCCACCAAACAATGGCGCGAGAGCTCGGCGCGCCGACAGGCTGCACCGCTGTATTCGCAAAGCATGGCACCGATAGCGCTATCAATGTTTGAACTCGCTGCGTCGCCGACAGCTTCGGATCGCACACGACCGGCGCCCGGTCGGCATCGTCGGCGGCGGTCACAGACAGGTCGCGTCCTGTCCACGGTCGCACCACTGATCGCCTGCCCGGGCGCCACAGGCAGGAGCGACTCGCCATCCGTCATGGCAATACACACACACACCCACGCACACACACACGCGCGTGCGCACAATCACATATCACAAGCGGGGCGACGCGGCGTCGGCCGGCCCGCGGCCCCGGGCACCGGCCGTCGCCCCCGGCTACTTCCGGCGGCGCCGTGCCGGCCGGCCGCTGGCGTACGCGCTATGCCGCGGGCCCCGGCCGCTGGAGCGTGCGACGCTGCCGGTGGGCCGTGCGCGGCGCGGCGGCGGGCGCGCGCGGCACGGGTGCCCCGCTCCGACCTGGCCGCGCGACGGTCTTCCGGCGGCGCCAGAGCCATGTCCCGACGCCGCCGGGGGTCGTCTTGACAGAGCGTGATCCGACCGGGAGCGGTCTGCTCTTGACTGCGAGGGGAAATATCGCCGCAGCCCCGAAGGCGTTCTCACGGCAGCCCCGGACTGACTCCCGCTGCCATCCGGAACGGCTACATCGCTGGCGCTGGAGGTGGAGGGCACGGCCCAGTCAGGCCTCCGAATCAGCCTCAGCCTGCTGGCCGCGCAGCTCTGCCTCGATCTCGTCCGGCGAGCGCAGGTCGATGGCGAACTTTTTCGGCTCCTCGGCACTCTTGACGCGCTTGCTGAACTCCTGGAAGGCGGTGGCCAGCGCGAAAGTCAGTTTACGCGCGCTCTCGCGACGGTCACAGACGAACGCATGACACTCGAACGGAGAAGTGGTGCTCTCCCGCACCAGGATCATGGCGAACACACGCGGGTGCCTGATGTCCTGCACGCCGTACGAGATGACGTCGATCGGGTGGTGGCCGGCCTCGAACTTCTTGTTGAGGTTCTGCTTCATCTCGCTGATGGTGACGCCCTCGCTGGAGACGTGTAGCTGGAGAAGCGGCAGCGTCTGGCCCGGCCGCACCGCCTTGGCCGCCGCCACCATATCGTCCACCGGCCCGCGCGTGTACTTGATGCCCCACAGCTTCTCGGCGTCACGCTTGCCCAGGTACTTGACGACGAAGTTCTGCGGCAGGTGGACGGGCTCGTCCATGGCGGGCGCCGACGGGGCCCGCTCGCCGACGGCCAGTCCCAAACTGTCGGGCTCGCCGCCGCGCTTGTCCGCCGGCGGCGGGGTGGGGCTTCCGGTCGCCGGCTCACTTCCGGCCAGGTCCGGCTCGTACTGCGGCTGCTGGTTGTTCTGTCTCATTGTTGCGGCCTGCGCTCGCCACGCCCCGGCGGCCGACTGCCGGCCGCCCGGCCCGCCCGCGCTATCAGTCGCCTGCCGGCGGCGTCCCCGCTGCCGCGCACGCTCCCGCCCGCACCCCACTGGCGAATGTGCCGCGCCGCCGCCGCCACCGCCGCCGCCGCCGCCGCCGCCGGTACCAGCTCCGCCTGAGGCGGCGCCGCCGGCGGCCGCCGCCAGCAGCAGCTGGGCGCCGCTGAGGCACGTGCCGCCCGGCAGCCGGCGCCGACGCTCAGTCCCACATCCAGCGGCGGCGTCGGCGGACAGCTCCTGGAGTCGGTGTGGACCGATGGCGGCGGCGGTGGCGGCGGCGGCCGACTCCGAGCGGCCCGGTTCGGGGACGCGGTCCGGAGTGGACACCGTTCAGTGGCGTCCGGTCTGTGGTCGCAGGCGCTAAAAACGCCACGCCGGGATCGATGTAGGTGACGCTCAGGCGTGAATAATGGTATTTAGTTGGCGCGTCGTGGACGGCACGCATGGTCTGGAAACGGCCAGGCGCACACCGTCGATGCATCGGAGCAACGGCGCTTGAAGGCTTGTGGGCCTGAGGGTGAGGGGCTGACGACCCCAACTTTCTGAATGTGTCATTCACCCTATGGGAATTGCCTGCGTCAATGTCGCTATGAAGGATTATCAAACTAATACCCCATCCTCCCACCCCACGTCCATCTAGGGTGGTGAGATTTGTCCCGCCTCCACCTTTGTGTTTTTCATTGGGGGAGGGTGGATGGGGGATGGGCGAACCCATGCACCTTACCCATCCTATCTATCAGACATATATACTCACAGATGTCGTTCACTCTATTCCGTGGCCATAATTTGGACTTGCCATAAAAAAGGCAATCAGCTCTTATTTTTCGGTATTAGGAGCTCAAACTTCTGATGTTGAGTTAATGACCTTCAGTACTTAGCAGAACGTACTGGTTAAACGACGTTGTAGCGTAAACAACTGTTATATTGGCGGTATCTAACATTTCGAACTGTGCTGATCCTCAAGAATTCATCTCTTCAGAATGGGTGCAGGGGAACAGGTGGGAGCAAGCATCTTGGCAGTGTTTCTTTATCGCCGTATAGCAGCTTCTGATGACGTGATGTAATGGTTTTTCATATTGTTTTGGCTCATTCAAGAACGGACTATCTGCTGGAGAAAATCCAGTCACCATTTGGTACCAGCAACTCTATGTCATAGTGGACACCGCACGTGCCCACAAATGGTGCCGCTTCGAGGCCGCTCCTGGAGGCTGCGGGAAGGCATTTATTTTAGGTAGCTGTTGTGCTCCTTTCTGAAGGAGCTAATGTATTGCGTGATGGAAAGGCTCTGCGACTATCGAAATTCGATTATTTTGTTCTCCTGACGGTAATCGAACAGCGCTTTGCAGGAGGCTGTGGATCTCGAAGGGAGATGGAGATCAATCCACCCACCCCTTTTGCTCCTTGTGGCAACAAAATGTCATGGTGAAGGGATACCAACACGTTCACTTCGGAACAACATAGTCTTTATTTTCAAAAGGCACCAAATGTCAGGGGTACTGAAAAGGGTCTCAAATCTTCATTCCCGGGATGCACGGAATTTCGAGGCACAAAAGTGTCGGGTTGCGTCCATTTGACGAAATTCTGGATCGGCTCATTCGGAAAAGGAACACCAAAGCCATAATTTCGGGCACCATAACCTTTATCTTCAAGAGGTACCCAATTCTAGAGGATGCTAGAAAGGGCTCCAAGCCCTCATTCCCAAAGGGCACCAAATTCCAGTGGCTCAACAGTGATGTGACTCACTCCGACGAAATCTGGGATCGGTCCCTCGGACGAGGATACACCAAATTATTGATGTCTGCACCATGACCTTTCGTTTTAAAAAGAATTTCTGTGCCTTTCACTGTGAAGATTTTCCTGATCGGCTCGTTCCTCGCCGTAGGCGAAGTGACACAAAAAGCGTTATTTCCAACAGTCATTCCTTTATTTTATAACGACACCCAATTTCCGGCGCATCACAAGAGATTTGAAAACTTGTATTTTCAACAGACAATAAATTTTAGGAGCATTGCATTGTTCGTTTAGCTTCCTTGACCAAATCTTGCATTGGCCCATTCGGCGAGAGGACACCAAAACCTTCATTTCGGAGCTCCAAGTCATTTAGTTTTGAGAGGCACCGAGTTCAAGCGTGTCATTCAGAGGGCACCGAAGCCATCCCTTTTAAGGGAAACCACGATTTCTTTGCTTTCCACACTGATAAAATCCTGGATTGACTCCTTCGGCGAAGAGGCACGAGGCAAGAGGCAGAGACACATTCACTGACCAGGAACAGGGGCAGGGCCCCAAATGTCGAAAGGTTTCCTGCGTTGGTCAGGACCCTCTTGACAATGAAAGGCGACGTGAGAAGCACGATGTAAGGGTTCGCATTCACAATGAGTCAGCGGTCTGAGTCAGACAGAGGTCCTAGTACCAAACGAGGACTCCTCCGCAACGTTTCAGCCATAGGCCGATAGGCCGAATCGGTGTTGGGTTGCCAGTTATTGGACTGCCTGCGCCGGCACAGGATTCCCTCGCGTCAGCGACGCTTCCTGCGTCAGTGATGTGCCAGATGCCCAGCTCAGGGGCCAAAGGATGTAAATCTGAACAAGCAAACTATTTATATACCTAGTTTACAATATATCTAGTAACAATCCACTTAAGTTACTTTTTAGATACTCCAAACATATTGCCTGATGAAGGTGTCTTCACCATAATGGAATCGTGAGTGCTCATTGACATATGTATTGTATACTGGCGTGACCAAACAAATACGCATGCAAAAGTTCCTAATATATGATAAGGCGATGCTTTCTTGTCGGGGGCATGATACCTCAGTGGTTAGCCCTCTTGGCTGTTTCGTGGGAAGAACGTGTTCGAACCCCTGCAGCGCAATGGCCGCTGGGCGTTGGTAGGGCTCCTGCAATACCTGGCGCTCTATAAAATGGTGCGCAACGACGTGCATGGCGTTTTTTTTTCGCAACTTCATCACAGCTAGCCGAAGCCGCGTTTTCCGATTAATTTTCACCTTCAAATACAAAATAATCTTGCGTGCCGGAGGCGCAGTATACATAGTATGCATCGATTTTGAATTTGTGCAACTCATATTGTAAATGCATTGCTCTGGCCATTTTCTTCATAACATGATAGCAATTTTCGTACTCCTTTAAGACATTCAAAACATGCAGAACAAGATCTAATTATTGTCATGTTAATGACATATTTTCACCGATTCCAGAGAGGTGGCCGTACGTTGCACTACAAGAAAGCATATTGCGTCAAACGTCTGAGGCTTTCAAAAACTTCGCCGCTTTCATCTACTATCACGTACATGCCTATATTCGTATTATGTCTTTGTTATGTTACTCCCTTGAGTAGCATTACATTGCAGACATCGTAGATGAGTCATTGTTTTTGCGTTTAAAGAGTGTCCCACCTTCGGAGGCACGTCTCAAACACACTCTAGTAAAACCTCATGGTTAGTTACATCTAAAAATTGTACTGGGTGGCGTCACTGCAGACAGTCAAGACGTAATATGGCCGCTAATTTTGATCATTCTCGAGTACAAATCGCGCTATCAACGTGTTGTAGCAGCACTGCATCTCCTCCCTGCGGTCGTGACCATCGTCGTCATGACAACCACCGTGGGTGGCTGTTACCGAGGAGCACATTGGTTGAAGTTTGAATCAGTATATCACATGGCTCGAATGATCCATTTCTTTTCATTGTTTTTGTGTATGATCCATTTCTATTCATTATTTTTGTGTGTGATCCATTTTTATTAATCGATCATTGAATTATTCATTGATCGCAGACTATTTCGGGGACGAAATCAAAGCCAAAGTGTAACCCTTCGTTGACTTGCGGGATAATAGCAGTAAGTTCGCATGTCTTTTGGTCTAAACAGTGTTTCAAGCTTTCGCGGCATTTATTACGCAAAGATTTTGACGCATAAGTGTGTTGTAAATAATACAGAGCACACGCGTTGGAAAAAAACAAGGTAAATGAAATGTATTATTTTCAAAGTGGTAAGCAAGAAGCCAAATGAAACTTTTCCCGCAGAGTTGGCTACTTCAATAGAAATTCTTGGTTCTTCGGATGAATCTCAGGAAGGCTGGTAATACTGGTCCAGTTATGCGCGTCTGATGTAACAATAAGCGAAAAGTACAAAAAGGTGGGATGCTTCCTTTCACCGTCCACTGTGAGGTGCGATTCCCCGCGGTGTCCGCCAGGGTAAGAGGTAGGCATCACATGCGGTCCCATTACTACCGCAAAGCCCCAATGACACGCAACCATTCACTGTATGGTAAGTCACCTTCAAAACGCAACTTTCTGCTGTCTTCGTTGTACGTAAGTCGATGTGACTACCCAATTGGGTCGAGTTGTGCCTCCCTTCGATGATACTTAGCAGCCAACTTCAACTCGTTTTGTCATATCTTCTCCGACATATTAATGAAAGGATCCATCAGCTTCTGATTAGCGATGAATGCACGCCAGGTACCTACATATTAAATTGTGTGCGGCCCGCCGCGCGGTACAGGGGATGATGGCCTCCCGATTAAGAAATGAGGATATGAAAATAAAGTGGCCGAAATTCAGCGAAGTTTTGTGAGGACTATGTTCCAGGAGACACCACACCGAAGCGTAGCCCCTCCCTTAATGGAAGTGTTCCACATTTGTGCAGGGTTTTGAAATGAAATAGACATATTGGAGGCCGTGCCGTGCGGTTTGCAGCCCTGCAATTTTTTAACATAAAACTTTCTAATTTATAAGTTTGACGCCATCGAAGATTTATAGACTAGTTCGGGGAGCCTTTTTCAGGGTCATTCAGGCATCCATGGCGCCATAATAACGTTATTCAAACCCTGCCATTCCATAAGTCATCCGGCGATCAAGGCCTACAAATGTAATTGTCGAGTTGTTCAAATCTGGCGTTTGTGAGCACGATTGCCAGACACAACGGCCGTCGATTGGCTCTGAAGTAATGTTGTATACCAAATG